GAGTCGGAGTTCAGAGTTTCCACCTTCTTGGCCTTGGGAGCTCTTTTAGGTTTAGGAGGCGCATCTGGTTTTGCTGTTAGAATAGAGATACTAAATATGGTAAATTCACATATTGGTTAGAAGCAATAAATTTTATTAGATACTCCAATTACAGCCTAAGTGGCAGCTATTTAAACAAGATGAGCCGTTTCAGCACTTGGAGAAAACATACTTCAGCTTTTATGCTAAAACTACATGGAATAAACAGGTTTCCTCTGTCATACTTTAAGGTGTATCACTGCATTAAATAAGTTCCATTGATGAAATACTTTTAGTCTTTTTGAGCACAAACCAGGTTACCAGTAACTAAAGCAGCAACACAGTTTCTCCAGGTTGGATACATTACACTGTTTACAGATAGGGCTTGCTGCTTGTGATGGTTTTGCCTTTACACTAGTTTAACTGCAGGACAACTTGCCCCATGATTATTGCAGGAGTTTGACTCTGTGACATCATTTTCTGTCAATCATCTATCTCAGTGAAAATGAACTTCAAAAAAAGCAGGGAGGAGACATATCTATGGATTTCTTAACTGCTACTAGGGGAAGCAGCAGTTCAGCTACAAATTGGTTGAAAGAAGTTTCAAAAAACAAAGGCCACAGCATTACATAAAAAGTGCTTTTGGAGGAGAGATGAAGCAGCAAGAAAAAACAAAATTATCTGAAAGTAATAAAATCCCCAGTCTATCGTGTGCTAAGAACTGTAATTTATAACCTATTTAAACCACTATTAGGTAATAAAACCCATTATTTTCACCATTAATTATGGTGTCTAGCACACATGTAGAAACAAGTGCAAGTCTTTCTCTTACAAGTAGCACCAACAAGTGACAAACCAACATTCCCCTAAGTAGTCAAAGCGAAAAAAAATTGCTGGCTGGGGTTAAACCACAACACCTATTTAGGACATAAATAGTTACTGGAGATTCCTCCTTTGCACTTGCCCCCTCCTTCCTATTAAAGTAAGTTAGATCCATTACAAAGACTATCTTCAGCCCCAAGGTCATCTTGTTTCACGTATTCCTTGAGGGTAAAACCTCCCTTTAGTTAAACTAATCAATCAAAGGCTGGACTTGACTTAAACTCCGTATGCAGAAATGTACTTTTAACACTGTGGTAGCCAGTGGAAAGAAACTGGTATCATTAAGGAGCTGGCAGAAGCTCACACCCCATCCTGAATTTCACCAAGTTTAAAATAAATGAATACAGCTCCTGCTCTGAAAATGTGAAGAGACAACACAGAGGTGAGGGAGATCAGTTTTAAGTAAATGATGGCTGACAGGACAATCCTATACACACCCTTTTTAGCAGCTACTGTTTTACTTGTAATTTTCTCTGTTTGTTTTGGGGCAAAAGATGATGAGAAAACAGGAGCAGAATCCTCTTCATCACTGTCCAATTTTGTTGTATCTACAATCCAGAGTACATTTAGAGTAAGTACAATTCACTGCGTATTTTAAATCATCAATATCAATTACAGTCAAAATTCATCTCAAAAAAGTGCTTCTGATACTACTGCTAGGCTATGGACATACTGTGGCTTTCTTACCTGTGATATCAGCTTTGTTCCTCTAAGGATCAAAACCCTCCTTCCCCTTTCCCCTTTATAAATCTGGACAGCCTTCTTTTTATAACTACTGTGTGAAGTTTGTGTATACCACATAAATTCCCTAATATATTGCCATAGGATTAAATAGATCAGTGAAAACAAGCTCACCATCATCTCGTTTCTGAGAGTAAGATGGAAAAGAGAAGATGTTCCCAAAATCTTGATTCTTCTTATCTTGAGACATTTTCCTACTTCCAAATAGGAGAAATAAATTATGTGAGTTGCATTAACTACATAGTGAAGTATGTAGATAATATCCATATGAGATTAAATTGCTGATTTAGCACTATAAGGCATTTCCAGCATTTTTGTATACACTTGCAGCAGTCAAACCCCTAAAATCACCATTCAGGCATGAACTTCAGGCATTTAAACCTAACAGAATTCCATTTTTTTTCAGTAGTTCTGTACACCAGACAGGCACAAGGTGGAAACCAGAGAAGCTTAAAAAATGCAGTTTAACAGATGATATTACTGCCAGTGTACCATAATTTCTTAAGTCATGTTTGCCTCTGCATAGGTCAATTGCAAGGCTGAGATAAGATGTGCTTTAATTCCTCCTCAG